CTAATATGCCCTACTTATTAACTGTTATTATTACTATTAGTACTGTGTCCTAGATTTTATTCAACCTCTTATTATTACTATTTCTAATTCATTCAAAACTATCTTTATTCATTACAATTACTTTAAGTCGTTTTAACATTATTATTATTATTATCATTATTGTTACTGCTATTACCATTACTATTAATGTCAGTATTATTCATTTAATAATTCTTAATATATTCAAGTTCTTACACTCACTGATAACTCACTAATAGTTTATTTAAGTGATGTAAATGAACCGTATCATGGCTTTTTATCTTAATTTTAATCTCTTATACTCCCTTCCCCTTATCTATGTGAACCTGACCTGAGAAACATTCACACCTGGCGTTTAGCATGATTTACTCGATGTATTTTCTTTTCTTATCAGTCTTGTGTCTATCTATAAGTGTAATTCTAATGGTATATAAATATTTCCCTGTATGCAGAACACCCATTCAGCTGAGGAAGAGTTCCACCGAAGTTTGATGGATTCACTAAAGCCTGCTTTATTAAAACACCTTTCGTTGTCTAGTTTTTAAAATCGTGTGGGGAAATAAACGGCGTTCGATGTGGAGATCATTGAATCGTATCTCGTGCCAGACACTCAAGTGTGAAACGTGAACTGAAAGGATACGTTGAGCATCCGAGGGTAACGTGGAGGAGATCATGTGGGGAGGAGATGAATGCCTATGCGTAATCATCAAGCCAGTTAAGAAGACTTCATAGCAAAGAGTGAAATGATGGTGTGCTGTAAATGCCTGTTAAAAAATTCCTACATGTAAAATCTAAATGACTAAAATAATTGTAATTGCGCAATACCATCTTATGCTTTCAGAAACAGATGTTTAAAAATTTAGAGGTTCTGACAGTTAATACTTTTGGTTAAAGGGACCAAGCTCTTCAATTAACGAACACCTGATAGACACAGGGCACCGAGTAGACTCGATGCCATTATTCAAAATAATTAATAGACAAAGTAGCTCAAGTCTTCTTCAGTCTGTTAAGGCTATCAAAATAAAACGGCTGTAACCTGACCTATGTGTCCGAAAGGAGTCTATCACTGAACTTCAATTATCCTAGTGACTCATCCCTTATTTTTTATTTCATTATCCGATTATCCGACAGACCAGACATACTTATTAAAGAAAACAAGAAATCTGCCGAATTCAACAAAATGAAACTGAATATCAACAAACTCCTTCAAGAATTAAAACCCAAAATTAGAAATTCCCTTTGGTTTAAACTAAAACCAAAATCTTATAGACCCTCACTATTCTACGGACAACCAAAGATACATAAATCCACAGTCCCATTAAAGCCAGTATTGGATTTTAGCAACTCGTCGACTTGGAGCCTCTCCATTTACTTAACTTCGATAAAGAAAACGCTGCAAAAGGACACTCATAATGCTATAAAAGATTCACATGATTTCAGATCCAAAATAGAAAACTAGGAAAATGGTAAAGAAGAAATTATGGGGAGCTATGACATTAACCCATTATGTATTAGCATTCACATCACCGAAAGTCTTGATACTGTTTTCAATTTACTAGAATCAAACCCAACTCTATCACAGATATGTCTACTGGACACCAATGAAATAGTTACGGGATTGAAATTCTGTCTGCCAACTAACTGTTTTATATTTAAATGGAATTTATGTAGACAAACAAATAGTATTGCCATGGTTTCATCAGTTTCCCCAATAGTTGCTGATCTTTTCATGAATACATTTGAAAATAATATCATTTCAGACAGACACATCTAAAATATGACTGAGATACACGTTGATGATACTTTCACCGTGATAAAATAAGATCTGCACAATTCATTCTTACAGAAACTGAACAGTCTGTCTCCCAGAATCCAGTTCACACGTCGGAGGCACAATAAGATTTCAGTGAGCTGCCTTTTCTACACTTAACCAGTTAAGAGGAGAGAAAATAGATATCTCAATAATGTATCTATACTCATGAAGAAAACACATTCTGACAAATATTTACACTTCGAATTATCACACCTCATTAAAGCATAGGTATCAGTTGTTTCAAGTCTTCTTAGATGATCACCCTTCTTTGATGTTAATGCATGAGAAAGGCAAAGAAGAAGAAGAAGAAATTTGAAACACAACTGAAATTCCCAAGAAAATAACTACCCATAGAACTTCATTAACAGAATCAACAACATTAAATATAGTCGAAAATGTATTCCAAAGACAGGAATGGCTCTCGACAGCTATCATTCCGTATTGATGAGTAACATAAGACGATATATATATCATCAGAAGAGTACTCAATAAGTACAACATCGAGGTTTTGTTCTAAACATCAGATACTTTACACTACAAAGCAACCCTGTCCATGTAAAAGGTCAAATTCCAAAAGGTTCTCAATCCAATTGTGTTTATATAGTAAAATGCTGAGAAAAACATCACGAGAAATCAAGGTAATCAGAAGAAATGAACACTACACAGCCGCTTCTGTTCGACCACTGAGAAGTCCACTTGTGAACTAAAAAATCTTTGAAAAATCATCAGCCATAAGTCTTCTGCACGCTATAGAATCAGCTCACGAAATTGATTTTGACAATATTGAAATAATCCAGCATAAATTTCAGAAATCACCAAGAACTTCTCCCATCATGAGAAACCCTTCATATCAAATAGAATCCAAATTGTCTGATGAATAGGAAAGATGGGTTGAAACAGAATTTGACCTGGCCACAACAGCCCTTATCCACACCCTCTGTGGACTGACGAAATCAACACAAATGTGATAAGCAATTTCATTATATAAACAAATGTCTTTCTTTCTATAATTTTTCACGCTGATGAAATCCAACAATGGTTTTGTTATCTTTATCAATTGGTCAACTCGACAGCACCGTAAAAATTACCGCATGCTGATAAATGATGATTACGTTGTCATATATAAAATGATATTTCGTAAAGTCTGGTTTAATATTACTACTTTGATAAAGCTGTTAGCAGCATTTCCAACAGCGAAACGTCAGTAATATCAACAATACTGTTTTGATCTTTTCATTCATACATTAATAATAATAATTTTTCCTTGACGTTCCCAGTGGAACGTAGGGCTCCAAGCTAGTGGCTTGAAGTTTCTTTAGCAGTGTTTATTTTACAGGATCGGGTTGCTAGCCTCATGCCCAACCTTTCCTCTTTACCAGCATTATTTCTGACTCAGTGAGGTAAAGGAGTGCGCCGGCCAGGGATCGAACCCCGGACCATATGCATGGTCGGCGAGCGTGCTAACCGCTATACCACCGACGCAGCATTCATACATTGGGAAATACAAGAAGAACTCCTATAATACAGTGAACATCACCTATCCACCTAATGTCTACATTTTTTCAGACTGTTAAAGATGAAATTGGTTTGGCTAAATAATAAAGAACTACTTCGTTTCATTTCTAGCAGATGGTAAATTTGTAATAAAAGAAAATCAATAATCTATTTATCAGGATTTCATCATGAGCTGACATTAGTTAGAGAACCATTGGAAAATTTAGGAGTACTGGACAGCTGTTTCGTCCTAGTTCAGGACTCTAACTAATGTCAGCTCATGATGAAATCCTGAAACCAATCAAATCCCTACAAACCAACACTTGAATATATTTATCATTCTGTGTTAGTCAACCTTGATATTCAGTTTTGATGCAGGTTTCAAACTATCACAAAAAATATTCTGAATGAAGCAAAACAAGGGATTTTAGCAGAAGTATTCTCAGACGTATATATATATATATAACATCTAATACATTTAGGTACGTGTTAGTCGAAAAAGAGTTTCCATAATCGCAGTAACTGACCGTATCAAAAGAATTTGCAAGAGTGACTGCTTAGAAGAAGAGATCATCATATTTCTCAAAAATATCCAGGCTTAAAATGGATATCCAGAATGCTTCAAGGAGAAGAAAAAGAAACCAAAGTACGAAGGGGAAGAATAATCTGCTAGAGCGCCAAAGAAAACATTATGTTTGAATCTGGTTTTCAGGTGAGATTTAGCTGTAGACGTCTCAAAGGGAGGAGAATCTCTGGTTCCCTAAAGAAGACACTTCCTGCAGCAATTGATATTCCCTAACCTCCCACTGCTTCTAAAGACACATATAGCTACTCTCCAATGCGTATATATCAGTTCACCTGCCTGTGCGAAGCTACCTACATAGGTCGTTCTATGCAGATTCTATCGAAACGTGTCACAGAACATTATCTAGCATGGCTTAAAACAGGCGGTACTGGTTCACTCAGAAGCGCCATAACTGAACTTCTCATCAGGCAGCATTCTTGTCACGGCACCTCAAATGACTCATCCATCACTCAGAGTTATTTACAGAGTAAACAGACGAAAGCTACCAAAGGCATTGTATGTGTGTCCAACTTCTCTGTACTATAGGAGCTCTCACAATACATATCGGAAAGCCAGAGCTTTGTGTATTCAAAAGAAACTAGTCCAATGCTAACAATATTTTTTCTCGTTGTTTCCATTCTATTAATTTTTTTTTGTATTTCATTTTCAGTTATAGAAATATTATTTCCATATATTTCAATGCTCATCCCTTTCGTTATAAAAATATTTTTCACTCCTGTGTAATTTTCTTAGATAGCCCCCTTGTAATCTATATTCACACCTTCAGACATTCATGTCAGTTTGCAAATTATCAGCATCTTTAATCTGCTTCGTCATTATAATATGTGGAATTAAATAATAATAATAATAATTGCGCCTGTGTAAACTCGTGTATATAAATGCGATTGTGTAGCTGCTTTTGAGAACGAAATCGCCGGAAGGACAGTTGTTTTGCTGAACTCCTTGTTCTTCTTTTCTGTCTAAAGTTTCCATTAAACCAAGATTTAACACATAAAAACCAACAGACATACTGATAGAGAAAACGAATAGATAAAGTTCTTTCTGAGAGATGAAGACATTTCAGATTGAAAATATATTTATTTGCAAGTAGAAATATCCTTCATAGTAATAAAATCTTTCTGTCTCGATGATTTCAGGTTTACAACCTTCTTCGCATTGTTTCTCTTCCGTTCATCTGTCAAACGGTCTATCCAATTTAAATCTTTAAAAAAAATACAGATTTGAATATATCCCCATGAATGTTTCATGCATTTTTCATGTCTCTTGTAAACTCATAAAAACAATCAAACCACTTCAGTCGACTGTTTCTGTTCTTCACAGTCTTTCCGCATTAGGTAGATTAAATTACTGAGGAATAGAAATACAACTGCCACAACACAAAACCAATATGCCCAACCAAATAGATAATTCACACTAAGATGTATATGTTGTGCAGGAATTTGCATATTCTCATAATTTCGATACAAAGGTATACTTCTGTTTGACATTGTTAAACGAGTTAGTGGATTTTTCAATTGATCTCTGGATAAGGCTTTCTTCTTCTCTTCAAGAAGTTGATTTCGATGACGAAGTGTGAACTTTTTTAAATGATAACTAGCTCCTATTTCATGAGGTAGGTGACGCAGGAAGTCAGCCCAGACGGCTACAGAACTTAGTAGGCTGATAACTGGAATTAGAGAAAAGAAAACAGTATTTTTAGGTAGGAAGTAAATTAGGAGCACAATATTAAGAATTCTCAAGGGTATCGGAGATGATATAGAGTATTGACTTCATGAAATGATTAACTGGTGAAAAAGACTTTCAGTGTCAAATTAACCATCATTCTATAGTTCAGGTGATTCTGCTACAGAAATAGCCATTGGTTCAAGTTTAATAGACATACGTGAAATCCCTCTAGATGTCAAACAATTAGTTTCACACTCACGAATAAACATGTTCTTAACACAAACTCATTAGTTTACCAAACGATGCTTATAGCTAGCTTAGAGGCCAGAGATATAGAGAATTAGTCAAGTGCAAAAGTATCTTGGTGTAGTTCTGTCTTCTGACGTTTCTTGTTCGGTCATCTCACATCCTGTCTATTTCTACATTGAGAAGTTAAGACAATCTGGAACTACTCAACCTCCATGCTTGTAATTTGTCCACTCTTGTATCTTACTAATTACTCTTTTCTGTCCGCTCGCTATCCTCAGTCTTTCCTGGGCTACTCAAAATGACTATGTAATATTTCGAAGGGTATTAAAGGTTGTTAAAGGGGTTTGTTGTGTGTCATTCAGTCAGCCTTTTACTCTAAAGTGTTTAATAGATACCTGAACTCATGTGAGAAGTAGTCCATATCTGTATTTCCTGACCACCCTCAACATCCGGTCTATTCACAACTCTGCCGCCTGACTTGCATCTCATCAGGTAGCAGGACTAGAATTCATTATTAAACATCACACTTTCGCTCGCATAACCAAGTAGATGAACTCCACGACAAGCTATTTCACTCACCTGCCAGCGTTATATATGATAAAGATAGCGTTGAACTTGTAACATGACTTACCCTGTAATTCTCATGAAATAATGGCTCAGTTACTTTCCCATATTTGTGATTTAACTGTGATACTCACTATCTCGATTATCTTATAATTTTTCGTTGTTAACACTAGTATTATTATCATTTTACATTTTGACCCTACTGTTTTGCTAATGCCAGAAGTTAATGAATGATATCAGTTTTGGTTAAGTGTACTTTATAATGCACTTCTTTTATTGCTTTTGTTGTTGTCCAGTAAATTACATGCAATTTTGCACGAAATGCTGACATTTCCACCACAATCTATCATAAGTACTGCTTTGCAATGAAGAAAATCATTATTATTATATGGACAATGCTTTTATCTTGCACAGTAATAAAATCGATGCCATGGTCCTTCTCAAAACATTTAATATCGTTCACCCACAAATTAAGTTCACGTATGAAACAGAGGAAGACAACATCTCATAATTTCTTGATGTTCTGATAACAAGAAGATAAGATGGCAGTATTAAGCTGGTTATTTTCTGAAAGAAATAATGGGTTGGCCAATACACTCGTTCATTTCAGATCGTTTCTCCCCTAATTACATACAAACAAAATCTCACCACTACCCTGATGTTTCATGTAGAGAACAGACGGACAGTGTGAAACTCCTGGAAACGATGCCGAAGAAACGTATATATACCTAGTTTTACCGGCTAAAGGAGACACAGTAACTGAATTTCTGGAATCAAAACACCGAAAAATAATAGCTAAAACATCCTTTGCCGCAACTTTTTTTTTCAAAATTTGGCACTTATCGGATGATCCCAGAACAGAACCAGGGCACATCATCACTGTCCATCAGTAAATTTAAATGTCCGTGTGGAGGCAGTTACATCATTGGTAGACAGAACAACTCGGAAAGCCCATCATCGCCTTCTTGAGTAAGCACTTTCCAACACGGTTAGTTAGGTAAAGGATTCATAAAGGTAGTCAGAAGTACCATACTAGCACACCCTGGTGGATACAGAGCACAAGATTGACAAAAATTCAGCTTTTAAATTTTTATACAGGGTGCCACCTCATCTCCCTAGGTTGCTACGTCTTCGGCTACCATGCGTAGCTGGGACAGTTGTCTTGTCAACCCAATCTGTGTGTTCGAAAAATGTCTGTTCAGTTTCTTTCCCTTCCTTGTCCAACTTCAGCCTACCCCTAAAATAGTTATCTCTGTATATATTATCTAATTATTTTATTGTATTTGTAATGCTAACTGTTTTACCAGTGTCGTGCTATGCTGTAGATGTACACTTTATTTTATTTTTTATTTTTGATTACAGCTTGATTCCACACCGTATTTTTGGTACAAATATGGAATTTTCAGCGTGGATATCGGTAGCCAAAAATTCGCAGGCCGACCATAGATATCAAGTGTGCGTCGGCGTGGGCTCGAACCCCGGACCATGTGCACAGTCGGCGAGAGTCCTAACCACTTTGCCACCGACGGTTTCACAAATTATTATATCTAATCGCTATATGGAAATAGTTATTTTTTTCCTCTACCCCGACTAGTTAGTATACACACTTTACCTGGGCACTAAGCATGTTTGAATTATATAAACACTTGAATAAATTTATCCTTGTTCATATGATGATCACTTAAACTGTATTCCATTAATTTACATTCCTGAACTCTGATCCTCTCTCTATATATTTCTTACTAACCACATCATTTCAAATGCCAATGGACTAACATTTCATCATTATGTAAATGTAGTAAGCCGGACAAGAATTTACCGAAAATGCCTATTTGTTTGCATAAATCGAGTTCCATAAAATACCACTTCAAATTTCAGAAGTGGAGCACTAAATTCCACTTAAATTTAAACTCAAAATAAAAACTAACTCTATTTGCTTTAACTGTGTGTGTGTGTAAGGATATAGGCTACTGTGGTAGTTCAATAGGTATTTGAATAATCGGTTGGCCATAATCTTTCTGATAGATAAACATTTTAAGTAGTAGTGTTTTACTCTCGTGTGAAATAAACCACCTGTCAACTAAATCTCAGAGATCATGGATCGATTGCAGTTAGATAACTAAAGGGAGTACTGGACAGCTTTTTCGTTCCCCTAGTTTGTGACTCTTAGTCAGTACGTACCCTTCGAGGTTCGAATCAATGACTCTCCGGCTACATAGCAGGGTCACAGATGGACCCGAATCAGTGACCCATGAATACTCACCGGTGATACTCAACGGTGGTCACAACAAAAGCACGGGTTGGTAGAGATAAGATTTCATGGACCATTGGATGCAAGTTCCAGTGGCTGAATGTTTTATGTGGTCTCCCAGTAACCGGAAGGTTCTAGGTGCGTACTGTTCAAGAGTCTCACACTAGGATGAAACGTGTGTCCATTAATACCTGGTTTTTAGTGGTTCTGTGATTAACAACAATCCATTGTCAAACTTAAGACAAACTGAATCCCAACAAACTTTCTTTTGAAAAATAAATCTCACAAAGTCTAAGGGGTAATAAATAGATATCCTCTAGAGAATCATTGGAAAACCACCTAGGTGTAGTCTGCAATACAACTGCTGCTTTTGTCCTAGTTTGAGACTTATCACAGGGCTGAATGGTCTATGGGCTTGCTTTGTAAAAGAGGAGGTCCTGGGTTCGAACCCTAGTAGTGGGTGCATACTGCTAAAGAGTTTCGAATTAGGCTTACTAAACAGCTGTTCAGTACTCCCTGGTTGGTTTTCAATGGCTTTCACATGAAAATCATCCGAAATGCGGTAACTGATTTCACCAGGAAGATGATTTTAGAAACCACTAGTTTTTCAAACGCTTTCATTGGTGTTGAATGACTTCCTTCTTTTATGTACTGGTAAAATGAAAATTCTTTTATATTGCAAGTTACTTATTATACCAGTTTCGATGGTTATATTTAAAATAATCACTATTATTGTATATGCAACTTATTTTTCACTATACATCTGAATAAGTGCTGCAATAAAGAATGGACACCACACAGTCAAATAACCTTGGACAAACCCATTAGACGGCTGCTTAGAGTTATAAATCGATGCTTTTCACCCAATCATCTCTGGAAGTTTCATCCTAACCTTGTTCATGACCCTACCTTAATCCTACCGTTATCCTAATCCTGAATCAGGATGAAACTTGCAAAACGAAGATTATTTGATAAGCACCGATTTGCAGCCTTCTGATCGGCTGGTTGAAGGCTATCTGACTGTGTGATGTGTCTATTTATTGCTGTTGCCAATATGTTTGTAATTGCAGGACAGAAAAGGTTCAAATTATTTTACTTACGTATAATATAGAATTTTTAGACAAAATAATCAAATACAATAGGATATAATAACCGCATGATTATTTTTTGTTGTGTTAGAAGATGGGTGATATCCTTGATCCATGCAAATTATCGTTCAAGTGTAATTAGAAATGGTGATTCGAGCTTTCCAAAATGATACTTATGAGTTTGCTTTCTAGATTATCAGTGTTTTTTTTACAGGGGTTTGGATGAATTCTAGGTGTTACATGGCGTCTCAAAAACTAACATCAGTTAAACAGAACACTGAAAATTACCAAGAAGTATTGGAAGGTTGATTCGTCCTAGTCTGGGACTCTTCATCAGTGCGGACCCACAACCATTCTAATTGGGGATCGAACCCAGATTTGACTTTAAGATGACACTGAACGTTGTGCATGTGAAGATATCTATCTAATCGTCTTCTCCAATTATTTACTGTAACTAATAAATCAAATTACGTTCATTTTATCAATAAAATTGAAAAGGTAATCCTCATATTATAACTTACATCCTGCAATCAAATAAATGAATTGCGCCGTTTTACATCTTTTTATCTTTTTCACATTACGAAGATACATTCTCATGACACCAAAAAGTGCTGATATTTCACTGCATATTGTTCCAATTATAGCGAGCAGGCATGATGTTTCACATCGGGCTAGAAATATGAGAGGAAATAATGAATGATTTACATTTAGTTGTGATGTTCCCTGAGGACCTGAATTTAGGTTTAATTGAGAGGCTTTCTGTCCTTGTACCTCCTGTACACACAACATCGCTTCAGTACAGGTTTCAGTATGGAATGAACTTATCTGAATTTTCTCTCCATGACTGCTGATATAACTGTGTATCTCCTGAAAGACAATTATTGTCGCAATTGGTTGTTAATTTGCATCTCTCCTGAACGCTTTTATTGACTGACTTGGAATTTGAACTTCACTTCAAAAGAGTCCAAATACTGTAGCACTCCACTATTGAAGATATTGGAGTAGAAATACCTGTTAACTGTCTTCAAATCAATGAATATCCACACAGTTGCTTTCATCAACAAGAGTTAAACTCAGATTACAATAATAATAACAACAACAACAATAAGAAACCATCATCAATAACAGGTTCACTCTACCATATATAAAGAATGTCTCGGAAATAAGTAATGGCTAGAACACTAAGACCATTTGAAATAAACAAAGCAAACAAAAAGATTCATCAGTAAAGGAAGATAAGATCAACACCATTCACAAAATAAATCGCATGCATGAATTGCGATAAACACTACATCGATGAAAGTGGGCGTCTCCTTCATGTCCAAATCCAAGAACATAACTTTGGAAAAGCACGACGTGTATTCCTCTTTTGATAGTTGAATATCTGTATAAATTTTACTGATCCCGATTTACTGGAATAGCTGTTTATTTTCTTTCAACTACTTTATAATGGACCAATCTTTTAAAAATATTTTGACAGAAATCATTCCGAAAAAGTGCACCTCTTTATTTGAAATGGCTATAAAGCAATAAAATATCATCGCAAATTTTTAAGACACTGTTATTGTTGCCATTTGACTAACAAGAATCACCGCATTCACCCTGATGCCATCAGAGCGACAGATCTCTGCTAAAGCTACAATGTTGGATGACCATAGGGCCCATATTTTTCCTTTAATTTGCGCCACCTACTTTATCCTGTGAGTAATATTACAGAGTTTCAACAAATAGACCAAAAAAATATAATAGGACGATTTTATGAAAATTCAAGAAAATATAGGTTTAACTTTTGAATTTACTTCCTGCTTTCATTTAATCCACTACAATACCGCGTAGATATCAGTATTGAGCAAAAACATTTATGAAACAAGTGTGCAAAAATGTAACGCAGTTCAGGAATATAATGCCAGATATAAAGAATATGTACTCTGGAAATAAAAATTTTCTAACTCACAGCTTAAGAATGCAAATAATATAACTTGTAATTAAAACCACACCGTAGCAAGTGACTACCACTCTACATTTGTCGGAGATATTCAATAAGGCCCCTCACGAAGTGTTTACTAGGTTCTATTTTTTGTAGATCTCGAACGCTAGTCACATTTTTAAAACTAACCTCATTAAAAACAATAAAGAAAAAGATTTCATCATGAGCCGACATCTGTTAGACGACCATTGGGAAACCAGATGGGAGTACTACCAGATAGCTGTTCACTCTGCCTGGGGACTCTTCATAGTACGCATCCACGCTCAGGGTTCGAACCCAGGACCTTCAGGTCACAAGGCGAGCGATCTCGTAGACAATTCAACCACTAGGACATGATCCAGTAGCCCCTGAATTTCACCCTCTGCCGATTCGCGATACTTTCTGAATAATCTGCAAGCTGTCTTTGTGATCTCAAGGTTCTGGGTCCGAACCCTTGTGGATGTGTACTTCTGAAAAGTTCCAGACTGAGACAACGGAAAATACTGTCTTACAGTATTCTCAGCTGGTTTTCCAGTTGTTCTTTTCTAACCAATATTAGCTGGTGATCAATCCTGTGACCAGTGAAGTCCGTAAAAACCAACACACTTGAATTTAAAATATGGTTGTCTTACATTGATGGTTTATTGTTAGAATGCTCATTATTCACGTGGCAATTTGAGATTCGATTCCCTATCAGCACAATGTTTAATTTCACTTCGTTTGCCAGCCCAAAATAAGCCTGGTGAGGAGTGAAGGTTTGGCGTATGACTAGTAACCCTACCGCGGAAAAAAAATTTTCATCCCATATTAGAAGAATTTATTTCAAATATTACACAAAGTAATGGTGCAGTATTAACGACTGGATGATGAAAAGGTTACGAGCATAAGTTATTCCTGCTTATTATCACATCAATTCAGTCACACGGATTCACAGTTTGTTTCATTCATGTATTTTGTCTCTATCTCCCTATCCCCCTTATTTTCCTTGTTGTTTGTTACCACTTTCCATATCTCCGGTAGAGAAGTGATGCTTCATTCCGAATGCAGGTGTAAGGTGGTGACCTGACGATTAACAAACATCCAGTGATTAACCTCTATATCTCTTCACCTAACTGTTATTATCACTTTCAAATAATCTCACCCTATCCTACCAACCCTATTTTGTGATTATATGCAGTAATGCAATGCAGTGACCGAGCCCTACTTTTTCTAGGCTGTCTAACTTATTAGGGCCAACCATTCTAGATCTAGCTAAGTTTTTATGCTCCAGTAATTGAAATGGACCCTATCTGCTAGTTTTACTGGCCTATATAACTGATCCCACTCACAGACATTACACGGTGCTCGGTTAATTACATGTGATTTTTCTTAGTTGTTTTTATGGGGTCTTCAAAGGCCGATAAAGATTATCTCTGAGAGACAAGAATAGAACAGAACTTGGGCACTGCAGTAGAGTATAATTCCATTATTTTGATGAAGTCTTGCAGTGTTATACAGTATTATTTACTGATGACGTTTCGAGTACAATTTATTACTCCTAATCATATAAAGATACTCAAACAACTTTTTGACTTCGTTTGTATACATCAGCAAAACATCGATTAGACATATGAATCAGCGGAAAGTTCAATAAAAAATACGGGGAACAGAAAGAAAGATCAAGTACTTTCGAATATAATATTAGTGTTTTCAATGAAATATAATACAATGGGAGACAGTTAATTGGTTGGTTGATTTAAATTCCCACCACGACTAGTTGCAGAATCACTGAGAATCCTGAGTCTGATGTGATTATGAAGAGGAATAGTTTATGCTCGAAACCTTGTCATCCAGTTGTCAATACTGCATCATCCCTGTGTGATACTTAAAATAGACTTATCTATTGCGGAACTACACACTACTATAATGCTCAAGTTGTGCACTTACATGAATAGTACTGCTGTGGTAGATTTACTAGCCAGTGGTTTATGTTTCCACTAGGAAGTCAAGGTAGGAAAAGTGTTTTCCTAACAAATTTCTCCTACATTTTAGATAGTGTGGTCATAAGAGCACGCGATAATCTACTTACACTTAAATTTCTTTGGTTACTATGCAAATGTCCTCGAAATGAGACGTTTCCTGAAGAAAAACTGTAGTCTTACTACGGGACATTTTAACGACAATTTATCATTGAGTCTAACCAAGGTAAAACAACAAGCGTGTTTCGGACCAAGAGTGGCTTCACTCTCAACTGTCTGACCGAGTGGTAAGTGGGTGGTTAGACTAACGATAAGGTTTATCGGTAGTTTAAGAAAAGGAGATGTTCATCAGCACAAAGATGTCGTCAAATAGCGAAGAGTTAGATTTAGCGTCAAAGAGGACGGAGATTAAGAGACCAATATTTTGCTGAGAAAAATGAGACATTTTAATAAGTTAGAATGGATGGCTTGTGTACGCTTCTCCGTAACCAGAGTGACATAGTCGGTAATGAACGACAAGCATTTACCGACTATGTCACTCTGGTTACGGAAAAATGAGACACATGAAAAGAGGACAAAAAAGACGATAAACGAAAGGTGGAAGTAGCGCACAACCAGGGAGATCTGTGCAAATGGTGATTTCCCTACAAGGTGTACATATTTTTTTTATTATAGCTTGAAACCATTCAGTATTTTTTGTTCAAGTATGGAATTTTCAGCATATAATGTCGGTAACCCAAATTTTTCAGGCCGACCATTGATATCAGATGTGCGTCGGCAGGGAATCGAACCATGGACCATGTGCACGGTCGGTGACAATCCTAATCGCTGTGCCACCTACGCATATGTGTATGTGTCAAGTTGTTAATAAACATTCGGTTACCAAGTATCTTGTCCTCTTCTGCTGTTGCATTTAGTAGTCCTGCTTTCTCTTTGTGACAGTCATTTCGACCACTTTGAACAGACTACTTACAATGTTTGAACACACTTAGCTGAAATTGTTACCTTTTCAAGTCTGAAAAATGAAGAATGGCCTACGCTGTATTGACTTCAGATATCAGTGAATGATCTGATCAAAAGACTGTGTCATACTGCGTATAACAATGAAGTAGGGTTAGTGGTGTATGCGCCCTTGACTCAACTAGCTAACTGATATTATTATCAATAGACACTTCAATTCAATTCTTACAAGCAGTTAGCTGGCTAAATTTATTTTGTCACGTACTAAACACACTCTCAGCATTTTCGCAACTATTTACTTCTATCTCTCTGCGGGAGGGAGGGGGGTGAAGCAAGGAGAAACTTCATAAGAATTTATGTTCATACAGTTACTGAATATAAAAATTCTGTCATATCATATTTACCATTCGGTTTTGTGTGAAGAGAGGACGACAGTCTGATAGCAGAAAAGGACTGATAAATTTTTAAAATCATTAACTGAACTACAAAGATTATTATTATTACATGTACTATCTGTGATACTGTCTATTTGTAATTCACTGTTTTCACCACCATTCAGTTTTTTGTGGTTGTATTATTTTAAATTTAATTTATGTACGTATATAGAAAGAGATGAACTTTTACTATATATATATATATATATATATATATATATATATATATATATATATATATATATATATATATACGTTAACCACATTAAAATCTGCCTTGGACTATGGAAAATATATTGTTCTGATTGGTAGGCTATTCTCTGAGGTCAAAGAGGAATAAATATTCTGATTGGCTATCGATTGATTAAACCAAGATCAAAGTGTAAGAAAAAAGATAATGAAATTTTACAGTCGTCCGATTACACAATGAATTAAGATGATTACTGTTTTAAGCCTATTCCTATCATCTAAACTTTAGAAATAATGAAGTCCAATGTTTCCCATGCTAGGTACTTACTTTTTTAAACCAGCACGTGAAAAGTCTGCTCGCTTTTGTCAGTCATTCTACAGATGTCTCATTCCAATCAAAGTAGGTCTTCATCAGTAATTTTTGTCAGTTAACCATAGCAGTTTGAACAATTATGGTTTGCTGTCAACTTCTTCATTTCCTTGTTTGGCGTCAGTTGTCCAGAGGTCGAATACTTGTCAACCATGAACGTGGTTTGGGCTTTGATCTCCGGCTAACGTATTCCTGAACGTCAATAAACCGGTAGTAGGATAAGTAAAGAGGGGAGATTGGACTGGAGGCTACCAGTCTCACTCCTTCAAAATAAGACCACTAATATCGAAACTTCAACACACACACAAGCTTGAAGCCATACGTTCCACCAGGAAAGCAAGAGAAGCGAAGGGAATTCTACATTTATTATGATAAGCAGCATGAAGACCTTTGTGATTAGATCAACAAAAAGAGGAACTTTAGTTATTTTTGTGTAATTATTCTCCTTCAAACATGTAAACTTCATTGAAAACTTTGAATTGATTTCCTACGTTATTTATGTCCTACGTTAATCACGAAATTATCTGTTTACGTTCAGGTTTATTTCAAATAAAAAGATAATCTTTAATTTTCTCTACGAGTTTGTCTTGTAACCGGAAGGTCCTGGGTTCGAATCCCAGTGGGTGCGTACTTCCGATGATTCCCAATCTAGGATGAAACAGCAGCTGTTCAGTGCTACTTGGTTTTCAATGCTTCTCTAACTGATATCAATCCGTGATCACCTCGTAAAAAAATCTTAAATTCTACTTGAAATTTCCCGTTTACTAATGACTGGACCGAACTGCTCAGATTCAGGTTGACATGTCAGCGGCTCCTTGTGCACATGCCTTGGACGAGTACTTCGGTTCAATCATGAGTTAAAAAGAAAGTTCAAATTATTGAATTAACTAATTACTGTGATAGCCGTTGAACAATAAAGAGTTGGCTTATATCTTGACACAAGTGGTCTAATGGAGATAACGTTTTGGCGTCATTTGAATATGTTGATAGGTACTAGCTTCGAGTCTCATCTGGGAGAAACTACCACTCACTGATTAACTGGAGAATGCAAGTATATCCAGATGACGAGTAGTTCCAAATAGTGGATCCCATTCACTGCTGATTACTATCCACCAATTTAATTCAAGTCTCAAAGATAATCGTATGAAGGTAAAAACTGTGAAAATTACGTCCATTCAGTGCTGTCAGCATGAACAAAGATAAGCTGTCGGTTATAACTGCATAGATTTCAGCAGTCACGCTGGCGTTATTCGACAGCAACCAGGGAAGATAGAAAATTAAGTTATTATGCGATATACTATTTCTAACTGTACTATGCTGATGGGTATAATTTTCCGGTGACTAGGGAATACTGAACTGGAGATATAAGCTAATTAAATTTAATTTCGCAGTATGGTTTGCAAGGATTTGATTGGGTTTGGGTTTTGTTACGCGCTGACATCACCTACACAGCCTTTGGAAAACCACTCGAGATTACTGGATGGATTTTTCTCACTAGTTTGAGACTCTTCAGCCGCACACAGGCACGCATCCACCAAGGACCTTCAAATTACAAAGCCACGTCGGAAGTCATTCAGCATATATCGACAATCAGAAGAAGCCGGAATTCAGGGACCACTGAATCTGGTCCTAGTGGCTAAATGGTGATCTACGAGAGCTCGCGTTGTAACCAGAATGTCTTCGGTTCGAATCCTGGCAGTAGTTGCGTATTACTGATGAGTCCCAAAGTGGGTGGGAGAAACAGCTATCTGGTAGTGCTCTCTACTGGTTTTCTAATGGTCCTGTAACCGATGTTGGCTCATGATGAAATCCTTTAAACAATGAAATCCTTGCAAACCAACACCTGAATATAAATGCACTGGATAAAGAATTCCGCCACACCCACGAAACAAGCTGGATTCAAGGAAGGCAAATCATGTGCTAATCAAATCGCACCTCTACGCATTATTATCATCGTCATCAAAAAAAGCACAGAATGTGGCAGCTAAATATCTACCTCACTGTCACCGACCTTGAAAACGCCTTCGAAAGGGCTGACCTAGAAGTTATTTGGAAACTACTTCAACACTGTGGAGTGCAGTGAGCCAAATCTTTATCAACCTCATTCGATAGCTATAAGATGATGGCACATGACAGGTGATCCCTGACGGAAAACTCAGTGAGGCATCTGAGGTCAATAGAGGAGTAAGCAATGCTGCCTTTTATCAGGTACGATAATTTTCCTAACAGTGGTGGACTGAATTCTAAGGAACACGTTGCATCCAGAGCCAGAAGACAGCAATATACTGGATCAATAAGAAGACTCTAGAAGATCTCGAATTCGTGAATGGTTTATGCCTCAATTCACAGGAACTCGAAGACTTATGGGCAGGCGAAAATCAAAAAATTGACAGAAGAAACAGCCAGCGAAGACAGGGCTCCAGGTAAATACAGAGAGGACGGAGGTATATGACGAAGATAACCAACCAACCAACGGACCAACAGCAGCAACAAACAGCACCGGTCACCATCAACAGGATGAATTTGACTGAGGTCACTTTTTTCACTTATCTAGCTATGCCTTACTGTTTCAACTACAGGCAATTGGAACTTTTGAAGATGTCAGAGACGGTCAGACATGATCGGAGAGGCAAGGCAGTACGTCTTCATCATTCTGAAATCAGTTCGGAAATCTCCTCCACCCCGCCTCATCATAAACAACAAGATTCAGATCCTTTTCGCGCTAAATGTGAAGTCAGTCAGAAACTTGGCCGTAGCCCATCACATGGGGCATTTTGAACAGCCATCTGCACACTTTTATCAACAGTTTCTGTCTCCATCCTGATGGTCAGGTGACCAGAGAGAAAAAACTGGCAACAAGAAACTATGAGAACAATCCAGTCAAGAACCTATTGCTCATAAATATGCAGATAGATCGAGTACAAGCCACTGAGAAGACCGTTGAATGTCATCGCACGTTAGCCAGATCATCACTTGATTGATGGAACGTGAACGGTAAGTGATGACATGTCGGGTGTGGTTGGCCCAAGGGAGACATGAAGGAGAAAACGGGGGATTATGGACAATCATGCAACCAATTAGCTAAAGGAGACAGCAGAGAATAGAACAAAGTGGAGACGTGCTACGGCTGAAGACTTATGTTCCACTCGGAACCCCAGGGAACAATAATGGTAATAATAATAACGCGAGAACTCAAAAAATATGCTCCTCCAGCATAAACTTACTCAAGTTTTGATAATTTGTATGCATATGCACTGCTTCAATAAATTTGTCAGATATCCAACAACGTCTAACACATACACTTATCAAAGACAGCAGACCTCCTAATCCAGTGAATGAAATAATAACAAGTTCCACATAGAAAATGTACTGTTTCTGATTCAAAGATGACATATTGGGATAATTTATCTGTGCATTGATATATGCGCTGTTGTGTTTGTCAGTGAAACAATAATATGACAAGACAGGGAGTCATTTTTACCATGAGTGGTAAAATAAACTGAGGAGGAGGTTTTTGTGTGTTAAACTTGCTCGTTTCATCGATATTACATAAGCAAAACAGTTTGCTATGTTTTGAAGATATTTTATTGGCAGAGATTTGTAGAATGTTTGTGATTGGTTATAAAGTGTTGAGTAGATACACACATACTATCGATGATGAAATTAAGTTTGGTGGAAAATTCCCATTGGGGCATATAGATAATAAAACAAATGATTCTGTGTAGAGACGCTTTTCAACGAATTTATTATCAAGCTGTACAATCGTTTATATACGGTTTTTAAGAAATTATATCTGGTGAGGGAATTAAATCGTAGGTATGCATTCGTATAATGGTAATAATAGTAGTAGTATGAAATGCAATTAAAGTATTTATGGTTATAATCATGGTTCAATGTGATTTTCTGTATTTCCTGATGGGAATTTTCCATGAATCATTTTGTTATCATCAAGCTGAACAATCACACGTATATGGTTTTTTATATTAAGAGAGTATGCCCCGAGGGGAATTTTAAACCAAGCTGTGAATAAGTAAAATAATATTAGTAGTAGTATGCAGTGGAATTAAAATATTTGTGAATGTAATCATAGTTAAATGTCAAGTGGCAAAACAATTAATGTGACATATATAGAATAGTTCATACGGTGTACAGATGTTGGAAGGGGGTGTAAAATTATAGAATTCGTATTTATTTATTATTATTATATCCTTTAATTCCTAGAGGAACATAGGGCTTCAGCTGCGCATCTCCGTTGCCTTCGGTTTTCTGCCAAATTTTTCACCGTGCTCCAAGTCTGCCCAAATGCTCTCATCTGGGCATCCAGGTAAATAAAATAGAGGCGTTACGTAACATTGCGTGAAATTTGAAAACATGAAATGTAACGTTGTAAAACAAAATCGATTTAGAATGTTAGGTGGGACGAGTGAAATAATACCGGGGATAATTCAAAGTGAGAGTAATAATATTCATAATAACAACTGATGTAATAAGGGAGAGGTATACAAATTGAATGCACAAAACGAAAAAAATAGATAGAGCCAAAACTTGAATTTGGATCATCATAATTTAGCAAAGAGGGATTAAGACATCATTTGAGTTGAAGGTGTTGAAAAACATTTCTGTATACAGAGATCTGACTTTTCTATTCCGATGGCCAAAGCTTCAGCAATACAGCAGATGAGTATCGGATATGTAGTGATCTGCGCAAATAATTTTTCGTCAGCTTGTCGGTGACTTAGAAGGTGGAGGCCATATAGATAGGGCAACATCAGCATCGGTAAGATGCTCAATAGTTGCGCCTCTTATAGCTCCAATTCCACTTCTTCGTAATCACAATGGAGGATAGTGTTCTTGCACCCTCTCTTGGACAAAATCTAAGTTGAACGATCGATATATACCTAGCTCCGCACAAGTTAATGAATTGATAAACGCGCGTAAGTTTGATCAACTGCATGATCTTGTGCTTGAGGTTATTGAACAGTAGTAATGGTTGGAAACTAGAAAATGCTATTCTCAATAAGATCCTTGTTTTAATGATGCCGGCAGTTAAATCACCTATGAATACCAGGTTCATGTACAGCATCTTCTTGGTCATGAACGTTAAGTCACATTTCATAGGTTTCATCTGTATATTCTTGTCTATAAAACTTGGTGGAAATCCATTTTTCACTGAGACTTTTCTTAAACGACCTAACTCTTCCTCCACATCATCAGGACTACATATACGCGAAATGCAAGTAACTGTTGGCGGGATAGAGTTTCACTTACAAACAATGGGTACCCAGCTGTAAAAATTTATCAGCTGACCACAACAGCTTTCTATGAAATGATCTCTTTAGAGTAGCATCGGTCCTCCTTGGTAAGTTTACATCACTGTAATGAGTGCCAGACTCGTTCTTCATTTCCAGTTTGAATATTATCGTTGGATGGCAACCACTAAATGCATTTAATATATTGCTAAAATTATAATTATTTTTAATTTTGGTGAGTAATTAATTATCACCGGAATTAAACACCATACACACATTGACTTTCCTGTCAACCTGTCAAGAAGCTAAAATGGAGTGACTGTCTTCTTAGGGTGACAGTGAGTTTTAGTGTTAAGGAATACACGCGTGTATTACTTTTTTTAGGGGAACGTGTCAAATTTTCTTTCTTTATGGCTACTTTTTCCTTAATAGATCATTTAAAGATTGGATAATCTGCATTTTTTCGTATATCATATTACATAAATTAAGAGGATAGAAGGAATATTCACCCACCTATTTCCTTGGAAGTTCTGACCAGGGGAATACAGTACAGCAGGTCAGGTGTGAGTATAAATATTCGCCAAAGATGACATTGGCTAGTGCCAGTCGCGCTATGTCGTGCGAGAACTGGCAGAAGTTGGAATTCATGGGCTGGTCATTGAATCGATGGGGTAACAGTGGATGAATGGTCTACGAGCTCGCCTTGTAACCAGAAAGTCCTGGGTTCGAATCCTTTGGGTGAGCACTGATGAAGAGCCCCAAACTAGAATGACGAAACACTTATGTGGCAGTACTCCCATATGGATTTCAATGGTTCTCCGACCGATGTCAGATCAGGATGAAAAGTACCTCTTTCAAGTGTTAGTGTAATGAGTGGTGTGTGAGAAAGTGTGAATACTACATAAAAATAAACCAAAAATAAGAAGGACCATAGGTAAGTTCAGGCGTATATTATGACAATAATTATACATAATTTAAAATAATCTCAGTATGCTTAAGAAAAAATCAAAACACGACTTTTCTGAACATTTCGCTGTGTAAATCACGGTTTCTTCATCATTTTTCAGTCGGCACAAATATCTATCGACAAGTGACCTTCAAATGAAATGTATTCAATTGGTGTACTTTTTGACGATATATTTTGATGACGAATAAAATCCTCATAATTCTGCTGAAGAAGCTGTAGCTTACACAGCGAAACGTTGTTACATTAATTTTCAATTGATAATCTAGACAATGGAAAAGTGTCGTTCTCAATAATGCAGTTAGGCCACTCATACATCATCCATCATCACTTAACTGTGTAAAAGAAAGATGTTCATGACAATTAAACATTTTCAGGTTTACATGACATAAGATAAATTTACTGCACTGAACATCTACTACTGAAAAGAAATTTTAGTAGTTAACGAGTGAACACAAATCTAACCAAGCCACATTATTAAGAATTACCGTCGGAATTCATAACACTGATGTAAAATTTTATTAAAGACATCATTGTAGCTCACTGATGTTTCAGTTGGTTTCGGTTTTGGCTACCTCCTACCAGTCCGCGTCTATGCTTCGAGGATAGGCAACACCAGGCAACTCTTGAGACTCATCAGGGAAATGGGTGGGAGAAGACAAATCATCAGTGAGACAATCTCGGAAAAAAATGGCACTATAATTAGCTCACAGGATAGACGACTGGATCGTTGGAAAGAGCATTATGAGGAGCAGTTTAATTGGCCCACAGCCACGCTCAACCTGCCGAGCATCCAACACCTCCCTGAATGGGATATAAACACAGGTCCTCCGTCACTAACTGAGGTTACTAAAGCTGTCACCAATCTGAAACTAGGCAAAGCAGCGGGACCTGATGGAATGACTCCAGAGGTATTTAGGTACGGTGGAGACAGCTTACTGTCCGGATTAACTGAGGTACTAGGCAGCGTCTGGGAATCAGAAGAAGTCCCATCGGGTTGGTGTAAGTCACTGATTATCCCCATATACAAGAAGGGAGACAAGTCTTCGTGTGATAATCACAGAGGGATTAGCTTGACTAATATAGTATCTAAAGTCTTAGGCTCAATAATCATGCGTAGACTGAGTGGTGCTCGGGAAGCACAAACACGAGAGAGCCAGGCAGGCTTTAGACCAGGAAGAGGGTGTATTGATCATATCTTCACCCTCCGACAGATTCTGGAACATAGGCATTCCTACCGGCGTCCAACAGTCATTATATTTCTTGACCTAAAGGCAGCATTCGACTCTGTCGATCGAGAAGTTCTCTGGAGATGCTTGGCGGTAAAGGGAATTCCGAGAAAATATATTGCACTGATTAAGGCACTCTACTCGTACTCATACAGCCAGGTGAGGGCTTACGGCGAGCTGTCATCTGAACTGGTGACGACCAGTGGTGTCCGTCAAAGATGCCCATTATCTCCTTTTCTATTCAACTTCATCATAGATGTGTTAATGGACTTAACCCTAGGTGACTTCAGCGACTCAGGGATTGACTTGCTACCGGGGAATAATCTCGTTGACTTGGAATATGCAGACGATATAGTCCTTCTAGGCGAAGACGCTGACGAAATGCAGAGTCTTCTAAACACCTTGAGCCGCAATCTACGAATGTTTGGCATGCGATTCGCTCCCGCCAAATGCAAGATGATGTTACAGGACTGGACTACATCTACTCCTAACTTAAAGATAGGGAGTGAAGTGGTAGAGCACGTTGACCGCTTCACTTATTTGGGAAGTACCATCAGCCCCAACGGGCTGATCTCTGACGAAATCTCAGCACGAATACAAGGGGCTCGTTTCGCATTTGCCAGTTTACGCTGACTCTGGCGTAGACGAGATGTTCGACTATCGACCAAAGGGCGGGTGTACTGCTCATCAGTCCGCTCCGTCCTCCTTTATGGTTGTGAGACCTGGCCACTGAGAGTGGAAGACATGAAAAGACTAGCTGTCTTTGATCATAGGTGCCTGCGTTCTATTTCCCGTGTAAAGTGTCATAATAAGGTGAGCAACATGGAGGTTAGGCGTCGAGTTCTAGGTAAACAGGGGAAATCAATCGACGAAGTCGTGAAGCTACAAAGACTGAGATGGTTAGGGCATGTGTTACGTATGCCAAGCCATCGCCTCCCTCGACGAGCAATGTTAGCGGATATAGGTTCAGGCTGGAAAAATGCTAGCGGCGGTCAAACAAAAACTTGGCTTCACCAGTCAATGAAATCCACAACAGTTGGTCTAAGCCACGTAGGAAGGTGTAGACCTCCAGGCTGGGGTCCTCGGGACGGTAAAAATCTATTGTTGGAAACAATTGGTGACATGGCTCAAAATCGTTCTCAGTGGCGCATATGCATCCACTCCCTGTGACTTATGATCTCCAATGAAACTGTTTTGTTCTTCGTTATTACTCCTCCCTTGTCTGACACCTGTGTTTACTGTCTCTATTGTGCTTTTCTTGTACCTTCTTCTCTTGCTTCGCGTGCTACACGGAGTGTGGCGACTTGAAGTGCCGCACATTTGTGCAAAGTTCTATGTCGAAAACAGACAGACAGACATACATGCATGCACTGATGATAATTCTTGTTATCAGAACACTCCACACAATATGTGGTTATCCTCATATTATCACAGGAATTATATCAGAATATCAGCAACAGTTGTGAGATTAGGCCAGAACATTATGCAAATGATTCTTGTGTGTGTGTGTGTTTGACGGGTTGTGGTGGTGGTGATGATGGGTGTTATCAACACGTGATAAGAACGAAAACAAGCTGAGTGTAAATTACAATATATGGCGAACAAGTAAACGGTTGTTCATTTTTGAAATATTTTAACGGACATTCTATTCCGCTTAAGCGTTAGTTAACTAAAGACATTGGACACTAGGAAGTGAGTGAGTAAATAGTGTCATGCATGTCTCGTCCTATGTTCATTTGGTTCAGACTGAATTCTATCAGTCTCGTTTGCAGTGTGTCCACCATCAAGCTAGGTGGCTCATCATCACGATGCACTCTGAACCTATTGTTATTATTATTATTATTATTAGATGTTTGGAGGTAATCGTCAGGTAGCGCATTGAAGACGTAGGTTTTGTGTAAGCAGGATGTATCTTCAGTCTTCATATTCGTGTCATCCATGTCACCCAGTGAGTGCTGCAGTTATTATTATTATTTTATTTGTTATTATTATCATTTTCAAGTATCGGTTTTGTAGGGCTTATTGTTTGATTGCATGGAGGATTTCACCATGAGCTGACAGTTAGAGAACCCCTGGAAAACCTGGGAGTACTGGTCAGTTGTTTCGTCCTAGTTTGAGACTCTTCACTGTACGCACCCACCGGGGTTCGAACCCAGGTTATTGTTGTTTACACAATCCTTATTTTTCCACTTCATTAAATTCTTCATTACCTGGCAACAATTCACTAATAGTATCACTGTGTGTAATGGACAAATCGTATGGAAAGTCCTTCCTCATAGATCTTTTTTTAATATTTATACCTATCGAGACTTTTCAACCAGCCTTACAATTAGTATACGCGTTCTTCCCCCGGACTGTGTAACACTAATTTGACATTTGCAGATCCCATGTTGATTTTCACCTTTATTATATGTTGCTTTTGTCCTTGTTTGATCTTCAATCCTGCAACAATTCTCTTTTTGGTTGTGTGTTCTTTAACGACATATGTTTGTTTGAGTTGGTGAGTGAGTGAACGGAGGTGATTCTGACCCTCCGAGACTGTTTGTAGCGGAAAGTTTTAGTGTGTGTGTAAGATTCCTGTGTACAGAGATTTTTGGGACACCACGTTGGGAATACCTTCCATTGTTTTTCAACATCTTTTCGAGAATCAGAAATTTTCCCACTCATCTCTCTGCAGAGTAAATTCTCTTGACGGACCCTATACAACAAAAAAGTGTTTTTACTAGTGCTGGTTTATAGCCAGCTATTAGGACAAAAATTATTCAAATGTAGGTGTCGGCGGCTTTCAGTAAAAACTAACCTCTGGAGACTGCTCCATCTTACGGGTATTGCATAGCACGATGTCAAAGTGAGAAGTGAAACTTTCCATCATTTTCACTTTCCATATTCTGATTTTTTTTAAGAAATATATCTGTGATTAGAGCTGTCTGCTAGCCACAATTGGTAGACAGCAATTTACGTCAATGTTTTTACTTAAAAATATCTTGGTCATGAGAAAAGCAAGAAAAAAGACTTCGCGTGGGTGGATACAGTTTGCAGATATATGGTCTGACCTTGAAAGAAGCAGTCACAAAGAAATGACAGATTAACTTTCAGCGAGAAAACAACTAATCAGAAGATTCTGTTTGTTTGCCAACAATAACCTGTAATAATATACACAAAAATGTATAAATATCTGTTGATTTCCTCAATAAACGATCTGCTGCCTGACCCTTGTTTTCTGTCGATACATATCTACGCACTTAATATGCAGTAAGTGAAAAAAACGTTTATGGAGAGAAGTTTTCTCTTGAACGCAGTTGACTTCTTTTCATTTATTGTTTCTCGTGATGGTAGAATAGAACTGGAGTTTTCAAGTATTGGTTTTGTAGGGATTTTGTCTGATTGTATGGAGGATTTCACCATGAGCTGACATCAGTTAGAGAACCACTGGAAAACCTAGGAGTACTGGACAGCTGTTTTGTCCTAGTTTGGGACTCTTCAGAAGTACGCACCCACCGGGATTCGAAGCCAGGACCTTTTGGTTACAAGGCGAGCTCGTATACCATTGAGCCACTGGGACCCGATCCAATGGTCCTTGAATTCTAACTCCTGCCAATTCACGACATAGCGCGACCACTTCGAAATGTCTTCCTCGATGAGTTACTGCCTCATCTTCAACCTGCTGTACCCTACTGGAGTTTGCTTTCTTTACACATATACTGGTTTACCGTGGAGTTTGGTCTGTGTTATGGGAATGATTAGACACGTGTCATGTATGCGGGAATAGCATTATCCCCTGGTGAGTTAACGGACAAAACAGACAAAACAATGAGAACAACACCACCTGGTGAGTTAGAGAATGCATTCAATGACGATTCTGTGAAAGCATTCCTTGATAAAAATGAAGCAGCTGTACAAATCTACGATGATGTTGGTCATCAGCAGATATATTTTGTTAGTCAGTATGTTGAGTAAATGAAACAGGCACTTAGGTAGCTTCAGGACTTTATGAATGTTTACTGAATACAGTAACTTCTCTGTCGTTTTTTATGCGCACCTTGGCTTTGGTAGTCGGCTTAAAGGTTCGGCCTACCGACAACAACATCCATCAGTATATATATTGAATATAATTCCCCTTGCTCAATTTGTTTCAAAATAGTAAAATATGATTTCTAATAGTGTAACAACAGAAGACAAGGGCTGGCAACAGATCGTTTTATTACGAAAATCAACACGTATTTATATATATTTTATGTACATTAATAAGGCTTATGCAAGCAGAAAAAGGCAGTCTTCTGATTGGTTGTTTCTCGGAAGTTAAGCAGACAAACACAGTCTTATGATTGGTTGTTTTCGATATTTCTCGGAAAGTAGAGCCATCTATCTGCGAATCATATTTGTCCACATTTAAGTTTGCTGTGATTGGTTGTTGAAACAGCCTTGTTCATATTTTCTCACGGCCCATATTAGTGACCTAGACATTAACGTAGATTAGTGCCAACCAATCGGCTAGCAGCCTGCTCTCACCACACTCGTCCCCCCGTCAAATAGCTTCGTGCGCAGACGTTCCGACCTTCTGGGTGCTACATCCTCTAGTTGAGGATTGTTACTGACCGGCTTGTCCCACTGTACCCATCTTTGGAGCTGACTGGCGTTAACTCGTTTCTGTTTATCACCTCTTCGGATGGTATATACTTGACCCCGTCTTTTTGTGATTGTGTATGGTCCTTCCCACTTTGGAAGGAGTTTCCGTGAACCTAGCCCGCCTCCAACTGTATATCTCCTGTCTCTACACTTCACTTGGTCCCCGACTGCAAAGGTAATGCACTGCGTCCTTTCTTTCATCTGAGACTTCGTGACATCACTGCGCTGCTTCCGTATTACATTCTTGACTGCCTCTTTCCTCTCTGCTTTTAATTTCGTCGTACTCCACTTTTGGTGCATGGGCCAGGTCTCATTGTGTACCGGTAATCGTGGTTTTCTACCATACATCAGTTGGAAGGGTGACTTCTTCGTTGTTTCCTGAGTGGTAGCCCGATGTGTTAGTAAAATCAGTGGAAGCTCCGTTTCCCAGTTCCCGCCCTTCGAGGCCAGCCACTCCTTCAGTGTACGGTTGTTTCTCTCCGTTAGGCCATTCGTTTGTGGATGGTATGGGGTCGTTCTGATCCTCTTGATGCCCAGCTGTTGCAAACGGGAAGTAAACTCTTCACTCTCGAAACAGGGACCTTGGTCTGTCAGTATTGTCTTCGGTACGCCGTGGTCTGCAACAATGTGTCTAACTACTGCATCTGTCACGGTTCTTGCACGTTGGTCTGGGATTGCTACGGCGTCTACCCATCGTGTCGCGTGTTCCGTCATCACCAAGAGGTACTGATTACCATTGGATGTCTGAGGAAATGGACCCATGACATCTACGGACCACAAGTCACCTATCGCGGTAACTGGAATCGACTGAAGTGGTGGTCGTATATACCGGTCACCTTTCATCAGCTGGCACCGTGGACATCCAAGTACGTATCTTGCTACGTCTTCTCTCATACCTGGCCAGTACATACTTTGTCTTAGGAGGTCGGTCGTTCTGGCCACGCCTGTATGCGCTAGCTGGTGACATTCTTCTATCATGTCGTGGCGCGACGATTGAGGTATGACAGCCAGCCAGCTTCCGTCGTTCTCTCGCCAGGTCAGAGTCCCGTAGGCATTCACTCTGAGTCGATCCCTCTGTCTGAGTAGTGTGGTTAGCTCCTTACTCGCCGTAGTTTGATCCACTTCTATTCCGTTGGTGATCACCTGTATTACTGTATTCAGCGTATCGTCCAACCTCTGCCTACGTGCAAGTCTTAGTGGGTCTTGTTCTACTGCATGCACTCCGTAAGCGACCTCGGGCAACTCAGACTCATCTTCTGGTCTCGATAACAAATCTGCCAAGACATTTTCACTTCCAGGAACGTGTGAGATCGTAAAATCGTACTCCTGAAGACGCAACATCCACCGTGACAACTTCCCCCGTGGGTCTCTCGCTGTCTTCAAAAATTGTAGCGGCTTATGATCAGTTTCGATGTGGAACCGCCGGCCGAGTAAATAAGGTCTCCATTTGTCGACTGCCCATACCATTGCTAAACATTCTTTCTCTATCGTTGAATACTTTCTCTCTGTGAGGGTCAAAACCCTACTGGCATACTCAACGATTCCCTCGTCCTGTCTTAGGACCGCACCTATAGCGTAGTCACTGGCATCTGTGCACACTGTGAACTGTCTTCCTGGCACAGGTAGTTTTAGCGTCATTTGTTGGTGGTCGAGCAGCTGTTTAATTCTGTCGAATGTCCTCTGCGATTCTTCCGACCAAACAAACTTTGGCTCACCTAGTAGCCTGTATAGAGGGGCTGCTATCTCATTGAAGTTCTTCACGAAGCGACTATAAAACGCTGCTCTACCCAAGAATTGTCTCAGTTTTCTCTTTGAATTCGGGGCTGGAATCGTTTTAATCGTCAAAATTTTCTCCGGCAGTGGTTTAATCTCACCATTTCCCACTTTATGTCCCAACAGAGTAACATTCTTTTTGGCTATCTGAGACTTGGTTTTGTTGACGCGTAGTCCAAACTCTTCGATGCGTCGCAGCACGGCTTCTACATGGTTGACGTGATCGTTTTCGTTTTGACTGTATATGACGAGATCATCACCATAAACCTCCACGTTTTTCAAGTTCCTAAGTAATAGCTTCATCAGTCGTCTGAACGTAAACGGTGCACCTGCTAGTCCAAACGGCATGCGTTTAAATCGATATTGTGTCTGACCCACGATGAAAGCCGTCTTATCTCTATCACCTTGTTTTATCGGTATCTGCCAGTATCCTGAGCGAAGATCGAGAACCGAAAACACATTCGCACCTTGTAGGCGATCTAAAGTTTCTACCACTGTTGGCATGGCACACGGTCTTAACTCTGTCATACTGTTTAACTGTCGAAAATCAACACAGAATCTATACTTCCCATTCGCTTTTTTTACTAACAGCACTGGAGAGTTGTACGGGCTATCAGCTTCCTCAATAATGTCATCTTTTAACATCTCTTGCACTTGTCGCTCCACTTCGCCTTCCAGATGACATGGAACTCTTCGCGTTAAAAATGACCTTACTTTCGGATCACTTAACGGAATTTCATGATTCACCTTATCGCAATAACCGTATGGGTCGCCATCTCCAGTGAACAGATGATCGTATTTATTAATTAACTCTGTCACATTGTGTACCGTCGACAGCTTAATCGCTGCTATCTCGCTGGTCTCATACATGTTGATATGCCCGTATTTCGTGATCACCACGTTCGCTTGCGTGTCGATTATTGCACCAATCTCACGCAGAAAATCCGCTCCTAATATCGTTCGCTGTAGTTCGGGTACAACAATGAAAGGAAACGTCACCTCGCAGCCACCAACAACGACCGTACAGTTCGATCTACCCGTGATACGCAACACATACCCGCCTACTGTTTGTACTGTCAATGAACACGGGCTAACACTCTTACATAAATTCTTATCTATTAACGACACGGCCGCCCCTGTATCTATCAAACATACTACTTCTCGATCATTCACTCGCAACTTCGAATACAGAGCCCCTTTCTCAATAGCCCCCACTAAATCTAGGTTCATACGAAAGAAAGAACAAGCATTATACCGTCTGAAATTTTTTCTTTTTCGCCTTTCTGGGCAGTATCTTCTCCAGTGTCCCGGCTTACCGCATTCAAAACACCGGTCTTTTCTATCAGCCAACTTTAACGCCGCCACTTCCCGCTGCAATGCTTCAATTTTCTGCTCATATTCGTTTGGTTTTGGTTGGTCTATAGCGGCTACCGTTGTGCTCAGCAGCTGTCTGGTCACCTTCGCCAGCTCACTAATATCCATCGGCTGCGTTGCGTTAACCAGTTGTAATCGCTGAGAAATGTGGTCTGGGACACTCTCGATGAATTGGGAAGACAGTAACTGCGCTTCTGATTCTTCATCTAAAGTGGGAAGCGCGCGTCGAAGTAGATTAGTCAGTTTCACCGCCAACACTAGCGGGTCTCCATCAGGTCCAAGCTTCATTGACCGGAACTGCTGCATTGCTAGCTGTCTGTCTGTTTCGCTGTCAAACTCGGACACTAGTCGTTCAACCAATTTCTTCCAAGACGCTGTGCCATTTGACCTGTCTACGCTGTCATATGCAGCCTTCGCTCGGCCTCTCAACAGCGTCCCCAGGACAACTGCCTTCGCCGCCTGCTCCTTGACACCCACCAGCTCAGCAACGGCCTCGAAGTCACGTAAGAAGCTCCTTATGTCTCCTTCTTCAAACGCAGCTGGCCACGGGATCTTCATCTTTTTGGAGGCAGCGACTCTGGTGAGTATTTAAACGGTTATCAAGTTTCTACAAAACATGAGAAAAAGCACTAATAAAAAGACAGTTGCAAAGAGGAAAGACTTTTTCCATTCGACTAATTCACAATCAACTACGCTGTATATTTGTGTATTTACAGTAAATGGTGGAGAAAGCTGCAGAATTCTATTTCCCGTCGGTAGGCTGTCGAAATGATAAAATTACTAAGTGTAATAAACACAAAGATAGGATAAAAAAGAACATAGTTAGTTCATAAATGCAATTACGGAATAATAGTGTAGTAATGACAATATGGACAGGAAGTCCGGATAAAAAACATAGCAGTGCAGATAGGAATTAAAAAACAAGACGTAAAAATACCCGAAATAAATAGGGAGATTGGCTAAGAAATGTGTTAGGATAGCCAGTATTGATAACACTGACTTTTCATGATGCCATGGTGTATGGACAATGGTTGGATGAACGTATTTGGTTTGATGAATGCAGAGAGTGGGCTGGAACTTCGGAGATCGACAGTATCTGCCTTAGCTATGCCTAGCCAGATGCCTTGATTTCACTCCTTTTGCAATAAATGTTTGTTCGAATCTTGTCTGCATGATTTCGGATGACATTTCATCAAATGGAGCTGAATGTTCTGAATTCACCACCAGATTATCTGCTGCTGAACTATATACACCCTTGCGATCTCCATTTCCTGGGCAGCTAGGCAAGCTGGATGGAGTTCCTGATCACGTTTTACAAGCAGATGCATGGTACGTCTCCAACGTATTTGGCTGCACAGTGAGGAACAAGTGAACTGGTATATGCATGCTGAAGTGGTCCAATTTAGGTGACAGATTGTCCTCATGTGCGTGCTACTTGAATAGTTTCTTGTAAGAAAATGCCGCTAGTAGGCGACTGACGGCGAGGTATGCTGTACTGAGAAATTTCGAAAGCCATTCATGAAGAATTTCTGCTTCAGTATCACTTTCGAATTCGAGAGTAAGCATCAGGGACATGATTTTGGGGGTATCTTGGACTTTTTAAGATGTTTTGTCTTTTCCACCAATCTGGGTGGACTAAGACCACCTTCTATCAACATCCCTTGGAGGTTTCACAATTCTTCGTTAGTGGATTCCTCGGCACTTATTTTGCAGTTCCTCTTTGGGGAAGAGAGAGGATGAGGTTTCTCTTCCTACTTAGAGGAACACAAATTTGAAAGTCAGTAAACTGTCCGTTCCCAATGGGTAGGCCTTTTATTGAGAGATGGATCTTCTCAGTGAGTTGTCAGCAGTTCTTCGCAGTTGAATGTCGAGGACGAAATGAAACACTGAGTCAGATTCAACTTCTAGAGTGAGGTCGATGTTTGTGTGGGTATTACTGTAGGTTACGGATAGACTTCTGCGATCCAAATTTCCATGACAAATAATGAAACCGTATTATCAACATACCTCTACTTGCAGAGATGGAACTCATCGATACTTAATGATAAGGAATTGTTTTCTGGGCTATTCATATAGTAGTCGGCCAAGAATGCGTCCTAGAGAAGCATCGACTGCCAATCCATGTATTTGCCTGTATATTTCATTTTTGACTCTAATGTAGAGGTTGAAAGTGCATCGTAACAACATCTCCTCTGGATAATGAATAGGTATATAGATATGTATTCTATTGGATTGAATGAAGTCGTAAAGAGAGCATACAGTTCCTGCCAGCGAAACATTGGTGAAGAGAGATGACATCTAGCAAGACGATATCCTTATCTTCCAAGTTAACGTTCTTAACTGATCCAATAAAATCGAAGATGTCCCAGAGATTGTATCACAACAGTTTCTCTGTCATCATTCCAAGAAACTCTACCATCCACTTCTCGAGTGAGTCATAGGAAGAATTTTGTTATGTCTAATATTGGGCAGAGTCAGACGTCTTATTTGATTACTTTAGACAAGCCATACCTGCTCAGAATTGTAGAACCAGCTGAACAAGGTTGTTCATGTAGTTAAGTACTAATAATGGATTCGTCTTTCATTTTACTAAGTATCTTTGTTATCTGGAGCTCTATCTTTTCAGCGAGATCTGTTTGGTAGAAATATTCTTGAAAGTTCTTATCATTAGATAGCACTGTAGAGAGTTTACCTAGACTGATATGTTCAGCAGGACAATTCCAGAATCTTTGTCTGGAAGTGTCGTAATCACGTTTTCAGTAACCTTCAGCCAACCAATACTTATTTCAAGAAATAAAGACAAACTGCCTTGTTTCTTCTCTTCCATGTGTATTTACCAGTTTAACTCCTAGTGCGGAGCTAGTTACATTAGACATATGACCAGGCAATGCCATCGTCGAATTTCTGAACAACTCCTCCAATCTTGGTTACACCAAGGTTCGAATAAACCTCCTATACTAAACTCAGTGTTAGCTGCTCATCTCATAATCGGTACTGGCTGGACGTCAATTTGACTCTGACAAAGGCTTTATAGTTATTTCTTGTATTTCACTTTACCTCTCAAATGGTCTGCGAGTACAATTTTTACGCATGCAGTAGAGGCGATTGAAATTCATCTCGATAAGCTAAGTGTGTGCGTTGGTTAAAAAGAAATTTGTACAGCCGCTTTCTTTGCCACCTCCAACCATACAATATGAAATCAGTTTTTAAAAATATGCTTTTCTCCTTTCCTACCTAGTGAATATTTTTTTTCGTCTACAGTTTTACATAATTCTGTTAACTTGTTTGTAATTAACGTAATCCTACTAAGTCATCCCGTTCTTCTTAGCCATCACTGCTACTTTACAAATTTCTTGATTGTGTAATAGCTTGTCGCTCTAACGCCTGAGAACTAACTTATCTTGAATTCCGTAATTAGTTAATTTTCACCCCTCCGCCTTCAAAATTTAGATTTATTGTTACCAACATTTATTGATCTTTTGATGACTTTACGCCATTTAACTTAATCCCCAACTCTCAATTTACCTAAAATTGATGGACTAAAATAACTACTTGAGTGGTTGTAAGAACGAAGACACTATGTATATAGGTGTGAAGCCATCCGATGATGAGGGACTAATTGAAAAGCAATGCATATTTCTTCACTCAGCTTGCTGTTGTGTTTTCTAAATGCGCAAACAGGAAATTCGGAAATTATCGGCATATGTAGTTCCAACCCACTGAAACATACATCAAAATACCTATGTAGCAATAAAAAATTTAAGTGGAATTACAGTTCGCTAGAAACTTCCTGAGATAAAAATGAAAATTGCGGAATACCTTTAGTAAATAATGGATTTTAAAATTTGCCACTTGTGGTCCTCCATAAACTTTAAAATCTTAGAGAGCATTTACGTCTGCGTTAATAATCTATTGACGCCTCAGTTTGAGCTAAATTTGAAGGTGATTCACACACAAGTAGTCAGATAGATTTTTACTTGTAAGTAATATGAAACAACCAAAATATTATGTTAAATATTTAGAAGCCTTCTGCAGGAAGCCCTGCCTAGATGTAGGTTTCGTGCTTGTTGGCACTCACCAGTCAGCAAGGCGTATCCACAGTCTCAAAAGAACTCAAGTACCTTACTCTGAGACTTGATTAGGTGAGACAAAAGGAGACCTGAAGTCAGAGACTTTACTACTGAGTTGTTTGGGCTCATAATTTATCCTCTGAATGGCTGTATTGAATACTGTGATTGGACACCAGGGGCAGTGTGTGACTAGAGCCACGCATCTAGTCCATTGAATGCAATCCTAAAGAGGGAGGGGTGAATCGCGAGCACAAATAGCTCAGTGGCAACGTCTCAATAGGTGACACGGATGACATGAATGTAAAAAATGAAGATGCATACAGCTCACTGGTGAGTGCCAACTGGCATGAAAGCTACGTCTTCAATGCGCTACCTGACGATTACCTCCAAACATCTAATAATAATAATAATAACAACAATAGGTTCAGAGTGCATCGTGATGATGAGCCACCTAGCTTGATGGTGGACACACTGCAAACGAGACTGATAGAATTCAGTCTGAACCAAATGAACATAGGACGAGACATGCATGACACTATTTACTCACTCACTTCCTAGTGTCCAATGTCTTTAGTTAACTAACGCTTAAGCGGAATAGAATGTCCGTTAAAATATTTCAAAAATGAACAACCGTTTACTTGTTCGCCATATATTGTAATTTACACTCAGCTTGTTTTCGTTCTTATCACGTGTTGATAACACCCATCACCACCACCACCACCACCACCCGTCAAACACACACACACACACAAGAATCATTTGCATAATGTTCTGGCCTAATCTCACAACTGTTGCTGATATTCTGATATAATTCCTGTGATAATATGAGGATAATCACATATTGTGTGGAGTGTTCTGATAACAAGAATTATCATCAGTGCATGCATAGACGCGGACTAATAGGAGGTAGCCGAAATTAGAAAAAGATCATTTTAAACCAGTGACTACAGAAGTAGAAGTGTGTATTTCTCGAATCTGGATGTGGTAGGAAAATATCTGAAAGATTAACCTTCAGAAAATAAGTAGTCAATCAGAATCTTGTATCAAAATCATACGATAAATGTGGCTTAAAACATAAAAATATGTTATGTTTTTCCTCAATGTAATGATCCGTTAGGATGTTTATTGTGTGCTTCCATTGCCAGCCTACTTCTAGTCACTGAAGCACACTGAACTTTTGTTCATTGAGTAAAGGATCTACAAGAAGAATACTGTCCCGAACAAGGGTCCTGAAAAGAAATGTAATCAAATTCTCCTCTAAGGTTTATTTTCACCAATATACAAACAGTAAAATAGATTATATCCTGTGAATTTATTTATGTTTTTGAGTTATCGCATAAGTTAATTTTTTTCAGAATTGCAGGCGGAGTCAATCTCTCCTAGTTGAAAAGCTGTTCAAAATTAAACAGCTTCTGTTGCTTGCTGTCGTTCACAATCCTTCCTCATTAAATAAATTAAATTAGCAAGAAATAAAAACACCGCTGACACTACACATATCCAATACGCCCAACCGAACAGATCACTTGCACTCTGATGCGAATGTGAATCCCTGTGAATAGTTTCAACAAATTTGATCCATTTCACTGGTGAATGAAACTGTTTGATGTTCACATCACTGGAATCTGTTACCACTACTGGTTTGTCATCTTTGAGTTGTTGTCTTTGTTTGTCAGACAAATATTTGGTGAATTTCCTCTTCAAAGGATAGACACTTTCGTTAGGGAGATGACGAAGAAAATCAGCCCAAACAGCCACAGAGCTAAGCAGGCTAATAACTAAAAGGTAGAAAAGTGGAGAATGGAAGAAAGAAGTTGGTGAATTTTAGCAATATGGCGATCCTCACATAAAAATGAAGTGGCTTTCACCATATGGAGTTAATCATAAAAACAACAGATTTATTCTTACCAGTCTTTATATAATGCACAGAATTTTCAGCAGTGTTTCTTACATGGTATTTCCTCTTCAACCACAACCTTTACATAAAAGCGATTAACTGACTTATATAGTGAATCATGTGACACAGCCCCATCATTATAACGTCTATTCACTCTCCCCTTCGAGAAATACACGACGGCACTTTGTTGAGCGCTAATTCTAAAATGTTCAGGAGTACATTGTGTCAAGCAAGGGTATAACTCAAACCCGATTGCCTCGTGTATCGATCGGGATAGGCTGTCATCAATCGAGTTAGATAACGCTTTTTCATCACATGTTTAGTAGATAGAAACTAGAGAAAGAGATCAAGTTGTAGGTGGTTCAGATACTCGCCAGTACGGTGAGCAATACTGTTCGAAGTGATATTTTACTGGAATTAAAGAAAGTTAGTAGAAGAAATTAAATGTTCACAGTAGTGATGTAAGTTTTTTTAAACAGGTCGCCCTATTAATTAGATTCATGTTATTACCACTCTTATCTTCATTAGGATTACAACAACTGAAACACCAGTGAGCAGCAATGATCTTGTTATTAATGTTTTGAAACTATGTTTTGAATTCACACTGTATTTTTCGAAAGTGTGGCTTGATTAGATTGGTGTTGACTAGTAAAATACTGACATTTTTTTTTGTTAGTAGTGAATGAGAAATAGAGTAAATTTATCGTATATCATTGAAATCTGAAATTGTTGAAGTTGTCTGTAAAATCTTTGTTTTACACAGTTAAGTGATGATGAATGGTGTATGAGGGGTTCAGTTGTGCCACTGTGAACGACACTTTCGATTTTCTTTCATAATGATTGAAGCCGTAAATTATTCATGAATTAATAGAAGGCTATTATAGTGTCAAATGAGCATAAGATACAGACACTACCTAAAATGTTTACAATTGCTTAGGGTATTTCCAGTCTGTTCACATGGAATATTTTTTCCATTTATTTTACTCCACTGAACAATTCATTCGTGTTTAAACACTAAGACATGCACAAGGTGTCATGCATACCTCAGTAAATCATCTCCGTTGTTTTTCGCCAGACAGTAAAGGCATATGAGCGATTTATCAGAAGATATATTGTGAAACAAGTATAATATGGGATAGAATTATTGAAGTGTTGATTTGCAAGGATTTGGTTTTCTTTACAGAATTTCATCATAAGCTGACATGCGTTAATATATAACCGTTGGATAACTAGTTGGAAATGCTGCCAGATAGCTTTTCTTATCTCCCTAGTTTGGTACTCTTCAACAGTGCGCACCCACTGCCAGGGTTCGAACCCAGACACTTCCCAACTGTGACGATGCAGCTGTCTTGCAGTGCTTCCAGAGCGTTTTCATTGGTTCTGCAAACCATTTCAGTTGATCATGAAATTCCATATGAAGTCTGATATTTTTTTACGAACATTTAGAATATTCATGAACAGCGAGAATGTGCGATAAATTCAGATGAAATATATAAATATATATAGTCAACTAAAGTGCAGATTTTGAGGGTGAGGGTAATCAGCAGTGCAAGAGAGAGACAGTATGAATACTGCAGAAAAACAGACCGACAAATGGAATAGACTAGACGGGTTCAAGTGTGACAAACAACTATTTTAATGATGCTGAAATAATAACTATGATTTAGTGTAAACTGAAAATTAGTTTAGTGAACGATTATCACATAATAATGAATTTGTATATCATGAAAACCTGAAAATGTACAATTGTCACGAAAGTATTTCACTGGCCCGTGTTTTAAGTAGACTGCCAATTACTCACATTATCTTAGTTTCAGCGTAAAAGTGTTGTTTGGAAGACGTTTCGCTGTCATTGTTTTCGGAGTCGACATGCTGCTAGCACTAGTTATTATGGAAATTCTGATCTTAATAACACCTATTAAAGGTTTAAAACTCTCCTGAATGATAAATATCTCTTGCGGAATTTGAACTAACTCTCGAGAAAACTGTGACCAAAAATGGTTGTTTCAGAATGCGGGAAATTAAATTTTGTTTTTACAGGTAAATGTCTACATACGTTCAGACTCTCTGTGATTGAAAGGACGATTTCTATGAAGATTAAGGACATTATTTCTCTCAATCATCCATCTCTGTTGGTGCTGGTTGTTGTTTTTGTTGCTTAGTGGGTCGTCGTCTCCGTCTCCACTCTGTCCTCTTGAAGTCATGTCATCACTGCAGGTTATTCAGCTAGTTCGTTGTTCTTTACCAACACGTCTTCGTGTTTATGTGACATTAGACATACATCATTGATAAGGTTCAGATCTTGTGGATTCTTCTTATCGGTCCATTGTATTCCCGTCTTCTCACTCCTCACTGAAGGCGTTCCGCATAATCCAGTCTACTTCGGTCAGGAATATCAACTTCGGTGATAATGTGCAACTTTGTGTGACTCCTGCACTCACTCAAAATCTGAATTAGTGATAAATTTAGATTGAGACTTTCGATTATTCATAACTTCGTAGATGGCTGCTGCCTAGTGATAAGTTTTCGTAATAAAACATTCTAGAGTATAGCAACAACAGAAAGGGTATAAGAAGAAATACTTAATATGACTAAAACAGCTGATGAACAGTTGATGAGGATATCTTAAGCAGAAAATATTTAACTTCTCTGATAAGACACTAGCTGCTAACCAGTGTAATATGTTCAGCCCATTTTTGTTGGTGCAGACTGAATTCTGTCAATCAAGTTTGCGATGTGATCACCTAGTCATTGAGTGACTTAGCATCACGAATGCATGGCATTGTGAACTGTTGATTTTACGTAGCTGGAGGGAACCGGCTACAGGAAGCCTTGGACTTACGTTTCGTGCTAGTTGGCACTCAACAGTCAGCACGCGGTATCTTCACTCTCGAAGGGGCTCATATCCCTTCTGAGAACCTGACTGGTAGAGTTCAGTCTGCCGCAACAAACAAAGGATTAGACGCACTGCACTAGTGACTAACTAGTGCGCCATCGAAGTACCCAACTCAATCCATCTACAGGAAGTCAAATGCATGCGCAAACAGCTCAGTGGTAACGTCTCTGAAGGGACACGAGTCTCTACTAGGCTGCAGTTACGTCTTGCTAACTGCTCAGTGCGAACAAATACATGAAACCTAGTTATACGCAGGGCTTTCGGCATAATAACACAAACTATATGATATGTTTAACTTCATTTTATATGAACTCTATTAGGTATCCAGACTCTTATAAATTATTTCTATCATACACATAACTCACATAAATGGCAAATATAGACGGGCAGGAAATAAAAAGAAAACCATTATGTTGATATATCTGATTAGGAAGCAGATAAAAGAAATGTTCTCTTCTTTTTGTTTGTCGACGACTTTTTTATTAAGTTAGTTAATTGAGACGGAATACTATTTACACTGCAATTGACGTAAACTCTTTGTGTGTTTGCTGCAAAAAACATTAACGTTTTGCATAGTACTAATAGTCGTCATTCATAACATAACTGACTTGATGAATACAAGAACAACTACCTCTAAATTCTGGATGATTTTAACCCCCTCTCCTACACACACACACACACACATACACTACAGATCTGATAAACTTCATTTCACTCAGATCGGTGTTATGATATTTTGATCGGCGGCAAAACGAAAATGAAAAAAAAGTGGATAATTCACATTTTGGCCGGTGTTTTTCGATGGAGAATGATTCCATAAAGAGACAAGTAAGTTGGAGTTTAACTTCTCACCTCCAGTCGATATACCGATAGCTACTAGTGACAACCCGAATATTCTAGATACGTATATATATATATATATATATAAATTTGGACACTTTACGTGAATGAGGCATTCGTGATAGTCCAAAGAAACCACTTCTATGAAATTCATAAATTAACAGACAACAAAATCGACAACGAGATCGAATTCAGAAGAGAAGATGAATCTGAGCACGAAATTAGACTTTAAGATGTTATAGTCAAGCATTACTGAAGAGAGCCAGGACTCATTGCACCACTCCTACAGAAATGAAAGTTGGAGAGAAATATCTCATGGACGTCTTCTAAACACGATAGGGATATCCACGAAGCTTCATCAAGAGAGTGGTGCAATGAGTCCTGACTGTCTTAGTAATGTTTATATGGAACCCCTTTTGTATGTTATTGGGTTGTTGTTGCTGCAGTTATAGTCAAGTATTTGTTCTGCGTGACTGAATTTTCTGTCCACTGAGGTCTCTAATATTTGTAGGGTTGTTCGCTTAACTAAAAAATTTAGAAGTGGAACGCCGTGCTCGGACTCATCTTCTCTTGAGAATTCGATGTCGTCGTCGATGTTGTTGTCTCTTAATTTGTGAGTTTCATAGAAGTCGTTTCCTTTGATTATCACGAATGCCTCATCCACGTAATGTATTCAAACTGTGTCAAACACACAGACATAGGTGTATGCTTTCTATCCATCTTGAGTGTTGTGAGAGGTTGTAATTGTAGTTGCTATTGAGTAACTCCTGCATGGTTTCTTTTCCTTGTTTCTGACCTATTGCCTTCACGTTTACCTGAAGCGATGACGAATAAACTCACGGAGAATCATTGAAAGCTCACTTCAAATTGAAACATGCACGCACTGAGAATATTGCCAAGTAAGGCAATGGAAGCTCCTCAGTTATACCAATCAGCCCACAGAAAACAACCACATCAATATATATAAGCAAATGAAAATTCAGAATGGTAAAATCTTATCTAACTGCATTTAGTATTAATTTTAAAGATGTGAACTCCATTGGTGTAGGTGCAGAAACTGTGAGCACTGCGATGGTAAGTTTATGTCAAGTATCAAAGAAATTGGTTCTCAGGATTAACAATTGGATGACAAGGCTTCGGGCATAAATTATTTCCAACTAGCGATTATATCAGATGAGTCACACGGATTCACAATTTGTCTGTTATATATATTTATGTACATGTATATTTCTCTCTCCCTCCCTCTCCTCCTTATTGTCCACTGCCACTTCCCATGTCTCCACTAGGTAGACATTACATCACTTCGATCGATTCCATGTGTGAGTCATTGAATCGATAATAGAGTGTCCAGTGATTGACTTCTCTGTCTTTCCATATGACTATTAGTATTACATTTTTAATACATTCACTCTATTCCACTCTGTGGTGTCATTACATTCAGGTGGATACAATGCAACGCAATGCATTGTAATGGCTGCATTCTGCTTGTTCTAGGTTGTCTAACTTTGTGGTGTCAACCAGTCTATGTGATGCTGAACATTTTATGTTCCGATAATGTGAAGTTTGACTGACCTATATAATTGACTTCAATAGCAGTCATTATATGGTATTTGTTAAATTATAAGAATTTTTTCATTGGATCTATTTGGGTCCTTAATGGGACAAAGTTAATCTGTGATAGAGTTGGATGGTTGGTTGGTAAATTGGTCGGTTGGTTTAAATGCCGGCCTCATTGAGAATCATACTGTGTTAATCTATGATCGCCTAAATCTGCGTCATATTATAGACAGTTCAAATTTATCATTTGCAGATCACTGTTTCATGACAGAAATTTAATCGCAATTTACTTCAGTTTAAATTGATTATTTCAACAATGTAGTTTCAATTTGGAAGTGAGATTTTTCAGATCAGACGCAATATATATATATATATATATGTATATGATCTTCTGAACACTGTAAATACTGATCGAGAAACTAAACGTCAATGCATATAACTATATGTCGCCAATTGATTGATATGATGGTGTCAGCGGTTACTTTGACTGATTGGACTAATGCGTATGGGTATGATAATAGTGACATTATGGACAATTCAACTGATATGGTAGATAGAGATATTCTTTCACGGTATCTTTCGCTTCACTGAACCACGTAAATATCAGAAGATAACGGCTGGCGTCTGTGGCCCGCAATGAGCGAAATGTACGTCTACTGGTGCTTCGACAACCTCAATTTGACTGTTTAACAGTACTGGTTGATTTGAGTAGTATACAACTACCACTTATGCTAAACAATTAGTAGTATGTAGTTTCATTAATTCACTCACCCACTCATTTATTCAAGCTTTAAATGATAGACTTTAGTTGGTATAATTTTAAAGCTTTTCGTCATTTCCTTCCTATCAACTATTTTTCAAGATGTAGTCATCATTCCGGTGCATGTAAAAAAGCTATTTTATAGTTGCATAGAATGTTTCACAAGTAAACGTTTTCATCGCAACTATTTTGCGCCATAACTAACAGGTTTCAGTCTTGTTATGCACATAAAAATACTAAACTGATCATTCTACACGTTTCCTTTAAAAAAAACATTAAAACTCCCAGTGAATTTTTCACCCACTTATTGTTATGGCTTTTTTTCTCTCAAGAAATAATAACTGGAAAAAGTCCTTGCAAAAACCAAGCATCATGTGGTGTCATCCCTCCCAGACTGTTAAATTTCACTTCCCTTTGACTTGCACGAATTATGCCTATCTGCGCTGGCTGCCTCCTAAACATAATCAAATTTGCTGGAAACAATTCAAGAAGGAGTTAGAATTCTGCCGGCGTAAAATTTAAGAAGAAATTATGGGCATATAATTTGGTTGCCGCGCATAAATGTCGTGAAAACTAGCGTCTTTTTAATGCTATGTGACTACAAATTTTGTGAATGCAGAGTGCCTCTTCGAATAGTTTTTCATTTTTGTATCAAGCGCCATCAGATGTTTTTCACATTTAAACAAAATTATTTCTTCTTGTTCAGTAAAAGAATAGTTGGGTATTTATATTTTTGAAGAACAACGGGTTCGTGTGTCCTCTCTTTAAGATTTATACATAATCCAAATCAAAAATTTGTGTCCGTAATTATCTACATGCATCGATATGAAAGAGGAATATACGTCGTGCTTTTCCAAAGTTAACTTATGTTCTTGGATTCGGACATGAAGGAGACGCCCACTTTCATCGATGTAGTGTTTATCGCAATTCATGCATGCGATTTATTTTGTGAATGGTGTTGATCTTATCTTCTTTTACTGATGAATCTTCTTGTTTGCTTTGTTTATTTCAAATGGTCTTAGTGTTCTAGCCATTACTTATTTCCGAGACATTCTTTATATATGGTAGAGTGAACCTGTTATTGATGATGGTTTCTTATTGTTGTTGTTGTTATTATTATTGTAATCTGAGTTTAACTCTTGTTGATGAAAGCAACTGTGGGGATATTCATTGATTTGAAGACAGTTAGTAGGTATTTCTACTCCAATATCTTCAACAGTGGAGTGCTACAGTGTGCTTAGATTCTTTTTAAACAATGTCTGACAATATCTGACCTCTAAAAGTGTTGTTTTATGAATTTCGTGCTTTATAATGCATGGCTATTATTGAAAGGAATTCAAAAGACTATTATTATCATAATCGTTATCTAACTTACATCCGGCTATCAGGTACACAAATTGCACTGTTCTACAAGTTTTCGCTCTCTTTAAACTGATCTTACGTTGCCGTATAATTCCAATCAATGCTGAGGTGGCACTGCATATTACGCCAATTATTGTCAGCAGACATGATGTTTCACATTTGGCTATGAAGTGAATGGAGGCAGAGAATAAAATGTCAGTGATGAAATAAGATATAGAGCAAAAAGTGTGTGTAAGCAAACTGTTGTTGAAACTATACTGTTTAATCGCCTGTTGCAATATTTAAATAGGTTTGGTAAGTATAAATGATTGTGTCATCAGTCAAATTTTAAGGCGTCTCCTCTGAATCGGTTGGAGATTTGGTGCTCGTGTCACGGAAAGTATTACCAAAAGCCACACGCAGACTATTAGCAACAACTATCAACGGAATGGCATCGGTGGCATAGAGGTTAGGCCGCTCGCTGACCATGCACATGGTCCGGAGTTCAATTTCTGGCCAACGCACTCCTTTACCTTGCTAAGCTAGAAATAAAGCTGGTAAAGAGGGAAAATTTAACATGATGTTAGCAACCCCATCCTGTAAAAATAAACACTGCGACAGTAACTTCAAGCCTCTAGCTTGAAGCCCTATGTTCCACTGGAAACGCGAAGGAATAAAAGAAGAATCAATGGAATGTAATATTTGAAATAAACTTATCTTAGGTGGAATTACATTCTACTAATGTGCCCTCAAATTCTGCACTTATATGAAAAGATGTTATACCAACAAAATAAATCATCTGAAAGATCCAGTAAAAATGATGTAATTTACAAAATATTTTCTTTTCAAGAGTTGGTTTGTAAGGATTAGTTTTGCTTTTATGAAATGATCATGGATTGATATTAGTTAGAGAACCTTTGAAAACCAGGGAGTGCTGCCAGACAGCTGTTTCATCCTAGTTTGGGAATCATCGGAAGTACGCACCCACTGCAAGGGCTGGAACCCAGGACCTTCCGTTACAAGGCAAGCTAGGTCGTACACCATTCAGCCACTGGGACTTCATTCAGCAACCAGCCCATGAATCCTAAATTCTAACCAATTCGTGATTTAGCACGACCACCAACCAATATCGTCGGTGGGGAATTCATCTTCACTGGTCACGATTTCTCACTAGAACTCCAGGAAATTGCGTCCTGTAGCAAGTCACTAGCGAGCATCAGACTAATTTTCAAGATTTGGTTTGTAAGGATTAAATTTGTATTCAAGTGTTGGTTTGTAGGGATATGATTGGTTTCAGGATTTCATCATGAGCTGACATTAGTTAGAGAACCATTGGAAAACCTAGGAGTACTGGACAGCTGTTTCGTCCTAGTTTGGGACTCTTCATCAGTACGCACCCACCGGGATGCGAACCCAGGACCTACCGGTTACAAGGCGAGCTCGTATACCATTAAGCCACTGGGACCCGATCCAATGGTCCTTGAATTCTAACTTCTGCCAATTTACGACATAGCGCGACCGCTAGCCAATGTCTTCGGCGAGTGTTTATCCTCACACCCGACCCGCTGCACCCTACTGGTGTTTGACCACGTATGATTCCCGAACTAGGATGAAACAGCTGTCCAGTACTCCCTGGTTTTCAGTGGCTCTGTAACTGATATCAGTCGTAAAAATATGTTTGTATCAAACATCCACAGCAGTCAGAATAAGAGTGAATGAATACAAACGCCTAAATAAAGGTTAACCACCAGGAACAAGGCTTACAACAATCTCGAAAATATTCATCTATAGCTGCACATGCATGAGACAGAAACCACAATATTGATTGGAACAATGTGCTTTTGCTTAAAACAGTTGACATTTTTTGTGATTACATTTACACACATAATTTTTTCATCCCTTACCCTATATCTTATTTAAGGGATTTATTACTTCTATGCACCAGCAATGTTAGGTTTACGTTTGATGGCGATTATTTCCAACAGGCTGGTGGTGTTGCTGTGGGAAGTCCATTAGGGCCTTTTTTGGCAGATATCAATATGTTACATATTGAGAGTTTATCAGATGATTTAATCCAAAATGTGCCACTTTATAGAAGGTATGTAGACGAGATTGTAATCATAAGTGATATCCCTTCTTCTGCCGACTCAATTTTAAATCGAATGAATGAAGTTCAGAATAGCATATCACTTACATCTGTAGAAGAGGAAGATAATTGTTTATCTTTCCTGGACATGTTGCTTATTCGACGGCTTGATGGCTGAATAAAATGATCTATTTATAGAAAACCTACCTGGACAGGACAGTATCTTCATTATCACAGTTTCCGCCCTGCTCGGTACGAAAGAGCCTTAGTTAGCGAGGCACCTCTTCAGTAGAATCCAACGAATATTCGCTGAAAACAAACTTGATGAAGAAGCAAGAAAGTTGACACAAACTCTGGTTGAAAGCAATTATCCAGACAGGTTCATTGGAAGACATTACAAAGTGGTCAGTGGAGCAACAAGACCCACTCTCCATCTCTCCCCTAGGAAAGACGTGTACATCAAGCTGCCTATATGGGGCATCATAACAGCTTGATAACTAGATAAAGATTGAACGCGGCTACTAGAAGACTTTTTATGCAGCCAATTTCATAATAATTGAAAATATGAAGCCAATTCATTCAGCTTAGTCCTTTGAACATGCGAAAAATGATGTCACATCCCACTGTATTCACCAACTTGGATGTACGTGTGAACACACATAAATAGGGAGGACTCATCGATCTCTGCAAGTAAGGGCTGGCTTCTTAGCACATTGCTAAATGGCTCCAGAAGCAAATAGAATCCCCAGAACCTATTAATGGTGAGAACGGGAGACCTAGCTCCTTTATTGCGAAACATATTATAGAGCCGGGGCATAAAATTGACGTTCACACATATTTTAAACCTATCTGTAAAACGTGTCTGGGGCGTACCCTATGGTTTGTGAGATCCCTAGCAATTAGAAAGTTTAAACTACCTTTATGCACCCAAAGTAACAATTCGTCATCACACTAAACCTTCCTTGGTAAATTTTATTTTGATTCCAGTCACTATAGATATACTTTTACCTCTGTTATTTGGTTTAGTGGTCGTCATTGTTATTTGGACCTTCAATATAAGCTTTTAACTTGACCTAAGTAGTTTATTTTCTCACCTCTTAACTCTTTATTAATTTCATATATATGTACTCCTATGGCAAGTCCGTGTGTGATCAAATTGTTCGAAATATGTTGTGCGAATACATTACACGATTCCAACAAATTACGTCTTCTTATTGTATTGTCTAACAATGTTTGTATTCTGAAAACTAATATGAACAAATGGAAAGAGAGACTCATAACAGAATCTTTATTCATAGGTGACCAGACTATGCAGTTGACAGCTCAAAGACTTCGGTCAGCCATCGAACGCAGATTCTGAGCTGCAACTCTTTTTTTCACTTGCCGAACATTTTCTATCCCTGTACCTATGATTAAATGACGAAAATCTGTGAACTCTATATATATATATATATATATATATATATATATATATAGGTAGAACCAATAGCGTGTTCCAATGTCGTCGAAAAGAATATGTTCCAAAATGGCTACTAAATCATATAGAAAATCCCAACGAGATTAATCTGAATAGAAATCCAGCATCATCCATTCCAAAACACTTATTATTGTCAGGTCACAAAATCAATATTAATGACTGTCTCACAATTATTTCACATAACTCTAATTCATGGTCATTGAAGGTGATGGAAGCACTTTGGATTAATCACATACATATTGTGTTTAAAAAAAAACAATGGACTTCAATCTTCGCCTACCATGGACTAAATGACCTATTTAAATATGATTGGTCGTTAGCATGTTTTTTCGTTTTTTTATTTAACTGAGTAATTGACATGATCTCTGTTTTATTATTCTTTATAATAAAGCTTTTTGTATTTCCTAATGAATGAAAAACAAAACGATATTCTTTTTACTGACGTTTCGCTATTTAATGCTAATAGCTTTATCAAAGCAGTATTATTAAACCGGAATTTACAAAAACCACTCAGCATATATATAACAAAGAGTGAAATAGTGAATAAATAAATTTAGGTCAAGTTAAAGAACATATTCAAAGTCAAAATAACAATAAAGAACAGTGAACCAAATAACAAAAGCAATGTACATCTGTTATGATATCAAAACAAAGTTTACTAACTAGATCATCGTTCGTCAGTCTGGGGTCACCTTTTAACTCTTTGTTATATATATGCTGAGATTTTGTAAATTCTGGTTTAATGATACTTTGATAAAGCTATTAGCATTAAATAGCAAAAAATCAGTGATTTGAAAGTGATGTGACATCTCCGTCTAGTTGTGAACATGACAACAGTGAACAAAAGACACCAAAGTCAAATCACCTTAAAACAATCAATCATATCACTGCTCACCCCATTACAAATAGATGCGGTTCAATTAGTCCTCACTGCAAGTTTCTTCGTATATGCAATCTACCGTGCAAGATTCGCTCGATATATATATATATATATTTGTGAAAATATTCATTTCTACACCTAATATCATCTAAATCTTTTCACAGAAAGACTAGTCTACCTGGCTGACGACTTTCCTTTTTTAAGACAACTGTATCGTTGAGTCACATGTTCGCATAAATTTCCCTATAGCCTGTCAATATTTTCTCAAACATTCCACTCAAGTTTATCGATGTGAAGTATTTTTATCGAATGGAATCGTGGAGCTATATTTTTCGAAATAGATTTTTCTTATCTTTTAGCTACATCCTATCGCTACAGTGAAAATAAAGAAACGACACCCGAAAGGAGATAAAAATTCCCATTGGGATACTCGAGAGTTATAAAATAAATTACATTTTATGCTGTATGTTTCGGGTGAGAATGAAAGCTGTTGGGGGGTATATTCCCGCTTAGTCAAGCAATGCCTTTAGAACTACACTTTGATCCAGTTTTCACAACGGATTGACAAGGCTTCGGGCATAAATTATTTCCAACTAGCGATTATATCAGATGAGTCACACGGATTCACAATTTGTCTGTTATATATATTTATGTATATATATATATATATATCTTTCTCTCTCCCTCCCTCTTCTCCTTATTGTCCACTGCCACCTCCCATGTCTCCACTAGGTAGACATT